GCTCATCTTTCACCTTATAGAAAAATCAACTCAAGATGGATCAGAGACTCAAATCAAAGACCTGAGACCATAAAGATTCTAGAAGATAACATTGAAAAAACTCTTCTAGACATTGGCTTAGGCAAAGACATCATGACCAAAAACCCAAAAGCAAATCCAACAAAAACAAAGATAAATAGATGGGACTTAATTAAACTAAAAATCTTCTGCACAGCAAAAGAAACAATCAGCAGAGTAAACAGACAACCCATAGAATGGAAGAAAATCTTCACAATGCGTACATCTGACAAAGGACTAATATCCAGAATCTACAAGGAACTCAAACAAATCAGCAAGAGGAAAAACAATCCCATCAAAAAGTGGGCTAGGGACATGAATATATAATTCTCAAAAGAAGATATACAAATGGTCAACAAGCATATGGAAAAATGCTCAACATCTCTAATAATCAGGGAAACACAAATCAAAACCACAATGCAGTAGCACCTCACTCCTGCAAGAATGACCGTAATAAAAAAATTAAGAAAAAATAGTTGTTGGTGTGGATGCAGTGTAAAGGGAACAGTTTTACACTGCTGATGGGAATGTAAACTAGTACAGCCACTGTGGAAAACGGTGTGGAGATTCTGAAAGAACTAAAGGTAGATCTACCATTACTAGGTATCTAACCAGAGGAAAAAAGTCATTATATGAAAAAGATACTTGCACACCCGTGTTTATAGAAGCACAATTTGCAATTGCAAAAATATGGAACTAGCCCAAATGCCCATCAATCAGTGATAGGATAAAGAAGATATGGTATAAATATATATGCCATGAACTACCACTCAACCATAAAAAGGAACAAAATAATGGCATTTGCAGCAACCTGGACGGGATGGGAGACCATTATTCTAAGTGAGGTAACTCGGGAATGGAAAACCAAACATCGTATGTTCTCAACATAAGTGGGAGCTAAGCTATGAGGATGCAAAAGCATAAGAATAATGTATTGGACTTTGGGGACTCGGGGGAAGAGTTCGGGGGTAGTGAGGGATGAAGGCCTACACACTGGGTACAGTGTCCAGTCCTCCAGTGATGGGTGCACCCATATCTCAGAAATCACTACCAAAGAACTTACTCATGTAACCAAACACCATCTGTTTCCCAAAAATGTACTGAAATAAAAAATAAAAAATTAAAAAAGCAGACATCATTGCTCTTTAATTGGTGAACAAAATGTATTATCTTTATTATATCTTTAAAAAATTTAGTCATTAATAGAAGTTTGATAATAGGAGATATTTAGAAAATGCATATGGAAAAGATATTAGAAATATGTATGTGTGAATGACAGTACAATAATTCACAGGTTAAAAAGTTCATTCAGTGTATGTTATTCAAAGTCATCTTTCTTACTCATTTTGAAAATCTTTGGAAATAGGAGCTCAAAAGGTGTCCATAAATTTTGTACCTCAGCTGAAAAATCTTTCTGATAAAGGAAAAAATGAAATTTAGCATTTAAAACTAGTTTCTGGACACTAATAGAAACAGAGCATCAAATTCTGGTTCTCACTAAAACTTTTATAACTGAGCCAGACGTTATATAGGGCTTTATGTACAGTTTTCTGAATTTCCTCTCTGAGTTATATTTAAAGTTGGGTTGTATTTACTGACAAGGCTTTTGAACAGAGCCAACTCTCTAGTATCTGTCATTGTGCAACTCCTTTGAAGGGAGTGGACAATGTGTTTGAGGCTGAAGGAGGGGAGTGAGAAGAAAAGCAAGGAGGCGACTTGAGAGATACCTTTGTGTGGGGAGCTGTGATATCATGATACCATAAATCAGGAAGTTTATAAACAATAGTCATTTATTTATCACAGTTCTGGAGGCTGGAAAGTCTAAGATCAAGGCACTGGCATATGTGGCATATGGTGGGGACCTGCTTCCTTCATAGACAGACTTCTCACTGTAATTTCATGTGGTGGAAGGGCCAAGGCAGCTTTCAGGAGCCTCTTTTATAAGGGACCTAATCCCATTCGGGAGGGTTCTACTCTCATGACTAATCATGTCCCAGGGGCTCGCCCTCCTAATACTGTTACTTTTAAGGTTAGGATTTCAAGGTATCAGTTTTGGGAAGAATGTGAACATTCCGATCCTAGCAAGGGGTGATCTGAGGGAGGAGAGAAGTTGCTGGCTTTACCTGTGAATGCTCTGCCTTGGGAGGTGTCAGATTACTGGGTGCTTTCTTCTGGTTTTAATCCTACCAAAAGAGCAAGCCTCTGATGCACTAACCAAGCACATAACCAGGCTCAGGCTCTGGCCTGAGGAAGGCAGAGAGAATTCTACCTAGGGCTAGAGAGCTGGAGCAAGGGGAAACAAACAGATAAAACGGCTCTTTGACTGATTCTAGATCCTACTACACAGAGGTATCTGGAAGGTTATTATGTTACCTGAATCTCGAATCGAGTCAATTACCTGAAGCCAGTGTTACCTTAGGAATTCCATATGTGTGATTGAAGAATGCTTATTATGCAAAGAAGTTCTACTTGTAGAAAAGAGTATTTCCATAGACAGCACTTGTTTTTGATTTGACATAAGATTATGCCCCTATTTCTCTAGGCACACTTCAATTTCACAGAGGTTTAGGTTTTGTAAGACTCACTGTTTTTCTCCTTAGAAGAAATATTCTAAAAGGTTTTCCTTTAATTGTATATGAAAATAATTTTTGATGATTCATAATTTAATTGGATGTTCAGTATTTGCCAAGACTACATGTGTCTTTTCTCCAGCTTGTAGTGTTTAGAATAGATGACCATTGTAACTACTAACAAAATAATATAGCATTTTCCTCCAGTGACTCAACATTTTAGAGGCTAGTTTGTGTGTTATTCAGAGTGTTGTTTTTTCCTCATGGTTATTTCCGTGTTTGCATATGTGCTTGAAGGTTTAGGGTGGAAAAGGAATGCTAATCCATGTGCGTATTTTGCTTCTAAGCAATAGCTTTGGAACCTTCTGATGAGGTTAGGAGTTAATTAACTTATTACTGGGAGACATCATTTATCTTTTCTATTTCTTTTAGCTGTATCTTCTACTTTCCTTGGCTGACTAAATTGAGAGTAGGTGATAACATTAATTCTAATTCCAGAAACTGTATTTTTAGAAACATACTTTCTCTTACAAAACCTGTAACATAAAAATGATACGTGATATAAACAAGTAAACTGAATGACCTGGTCAAAGTCACCAGTGACTCAAATAGGTGGAGCAGAAATTTATGACACTCTTTCTCCAGCCAGACTTTCCTGGCATTTTATATGTTGCCCCGGCTCATAATGGCCTCCAATTTATGTCATTTAAAGATTAAACTTCAAAATACAAGTTATTATAAGAAAGTCAGTGCCAAGGTAGTGGTCACAAACTGCAAATCGTTTCTTGATTTATACTTGCCAGAATTATGTTCCCATTCAATAAAATACTGCAGTTATTAGTTCTATGCATTGCAAGAATGCCACCAGTAATGGAAATAGAGAAATACCTTGTTCATAGGAAACAACTAGAAGAATTAATTAGGAATTATTATTTCTGATAAACTTACTGAATTCTTTTCTGCCTCCTCAGCTAGTGATTAAGAAAAAAAATCATGTGGACATGAGGGAGAAAGCTTTCCTTTCTACTTGGCTTTCTGGGTACAAATCAGAAATTAGGTGCCAGGGAGTAATTATTGTTCTATCGAGAGGATGGTATTACTAACTATATTGACTAACTTGTCAAATGATCTTTGTGTGTAGAAACTATGAAAACAGAAAAACATCTTTTGTTCACCAAACTATGTCTTCATAAGCCACTGTTTTGTAATTATGAATCCTGCCAAACAACATTCTATAGGTTATTACATCAAGACTTTTGTCTTTTTTATTTTTAGCACGCTCAAGTGTATATAGAAGTCTTTGGAATGTTGAAGGAGTGACATTCCACAGGCTTCAGATTTTCTTTTTTTCTGCTTCCCATTGTGCCAAGGAGACACGTAAATTCAGAATGTTTAATGATTTCTCCTTTATTTGCCTTCTTTCTGGAGCTCTGTTGCAGAGTAAAAAATTGTTTCTTGTGGATGGGTTTTTGAATAGGAAAATCAGTTTCAAGGTAGTGTTATTTGACAGTGATTAATGATTAATTAACCAAGCTAACATTAATAGAAAAACATTTTTAGAGCATTGAATTTCTACATGACCTGGCACAGTGTTACTGATCAACAATAAAAAAAAGAATTCATAATAATCTAGATTTGGAAGCAAAATTGTCCTCAAGTTTCGATTGTCAAAGCCAATTTTCTTTTTTATAGAGTACGGAGACATATATATCTTTGCAGTATTTTTCATTTTAATTTAAACTTGTTCTGTTTAAAGTACTAGACTCTGAGGTAACTTAGTTAATTTGGGGTGTTCTGGTATATTTAATTTAATGTTCGCCCAGTCATTCTGCTATGCTAATAAAGCAATCACTTATGGGCTTGAATGAATTATCAAAAAGTTAGTTGACTATTTGTATGAGTCCACTTTATCTTTTAAATGTGGCAAAATAATATGGTTTTGAAGCTGCCTTTAAAAATTATCAGTTTGAGAAAAAAAAATCGGTGAAAACTATTAGTAGAAAATAGTATTCTTTGGATGAAGTGAACAAAATTATGATGAAGAGATTCTTAAACTGGTAACTGAAATATAAGCAAATATTACCTTTCTTTAATAAATGTGAAACTAACTCTTTGAAGGATGGCTTTGGACATTGAAATAGGTCTGTGTCCACACATGGAGAATATAGAATAGCGAGGACCACTCACCATTGTGTGGGGTGTTTTTCTTTGTCTCTCAACTTGATTTCTTGTTTATTTTTGATGGGCTGTTGGCTCTGTATAACACATATGGGGGAGGGAGTAGTGATACGTGTTATTTTTGAGAATGCTAAAAAATCACTAAATGATATTGGCATCTGTTAATTATTGCATATGTTATTTATTTACTTTCAGTTTGATTAATAAGCTTAAACCTGGCATCATTAAGAAGATCAATAGACTGTCTACACCAATAGCAGGACTGGTAAGTAGTAAATTTTCTTCACAACTAAATTTGTTTGTCTTCGAAATGTAAAGAGGTGGGCATAGGCAGGTTTTTGTATCTGTAATTACTGTTGAAAGTAGGTTATAGTCTTTTTGTTCAAGCAAAGTGTGGTGATGTCCTCCTTATGTCTGTAGTTCCTTTCTCTGTTTCCCTATTGCCTGGAGGCTTTTATTTTTTAATTGTTTATTTTGATTTGTGTGCCATCAGGCTTCATATGTTTCCTTTCTTGGCTTATTTCTTCCACAAATTACATTTGTTCAGGGTCACCATCGTTTGAAGCTCAGCCCCATGTGCGCTGTTTGCTGGCTGCCGCAGGGGTGCCCCAGACTGTGAGATGTTCACCGGTGGTTATTTTTCTGCCACATGATGCTTTTGCGTTACCCTCAGCCAGCACACAGATCCTAAGTGCATTTGCAAGTTAGTCAAAACCTGCTAGCTCTGTTGCTTTATGTAAAAGATTTTCCACCAAAGTCCTGTGTGAGGCTGGACAAGTCACTGCCACAGTAATATTACCCATAAAATAGGTGTGATGGTTCTGTAGATTCTTTCTAGCTTTCAAATCAGGAATTTGTCTATGAAATGTACCCCACACTATCCCAAGGTAGCTATTCAGATGGGGTAAAACATTTCAGAGGACAATAACGGTATGGGGCTCTGTCTGTGGAAATAATTTACGATCAAATACAAATGATGAATAATATTTAAAATGTTAGAAATCCTTAAAAATCAACAGGATGATAGGAGTCAGCTAAATAAACTCCAAAAAACACTGAAGTTTAAGATAGCCAATAATTGGAATGTGAAAACAAACCTTCCTATTTTTAGACTATTCATGCTGTTTATAATACGTTCAGGAAACTTGTGTTTGTCCGTTCATGTGTTTACAGATGTTAAAGGCATGAGTATTTAAAGTTAGCAGATTTGCAGAAGTTGTGACAATGTCATTAAAATCTGGGTGTTGGCTGCAGAGTGTTTCTCAGAACGTATCTGTCTAGGAGAGAAGGAATGAAAAGTTTTTAACAGTTTTACTTCAAAACATAATGCATATAAAGTTCCCAGAGCAGTTGGGCTCCAATATTAATTCCTCCCCTCCTACCAAGTTGCCTCCGTTCTATGTCTATCATGAATAGACAGCTGACCTAACAATTTTATTGGTTTCAAATTTGGTTAGGTTAAAGAAATTATATGTATGTGTGTGTTAGTTTAAAGAAATTACACACACACACACACACACACACACACACACACAATTTTCTACTAGTAATATAGTGAGTCAGAAGAGGTTTATTTAAAGAATAAAATGGAAAAAAATTAATACTTGAAGTCTTTTTAGGAGGAAATGTTCAGTTTAATAAAACAAATGAGCTTTATTTAAAAATGACATAAAATATTTTTATATAATGTACTTTTAATATTAAGTTTCAATAGTATTGAAAATATTTTTTCAAATGGCTTGAATTAAATAGCTTATTGCTTTAATTTAAAATTGTTATTTCTTGGATCAATTACATGCATTTTAAAGCAAATTAGACTTTGATCTCACACACCCTGCATATTTGGAATGCTCGAATTGTAGTGGTTTGTTGTTGGCCAGTGGAGGTTATATTCAGTTTTCTGATTGTATGATTACATGAAAGCACAAATGTGTTTTATTTTTAAATTCAAAGATCTCTCCAAGTATTCCTATTTCAAGCATCAGAAATTCTATCTGGTTGGGATTTTATCTTTAGAAATTAAAGTGAACTGTATTTCCGGTATTTTAAATAGGAATATTTTTTGAATACAGGACACAGAGCATTTTTGATTGGCTGTGGGAGCATAAAAGTGACCACAGCTGCAGAACTGGGCTAAGCCCAATTGGTTTGAAGTTGTTATCATGCCTCATTTGACTCCTTCTGATGCCTGTTTGTCAAGATAGTTATATTGAAACTTTTCAAAGCCTTAATTCCAAGTATGAATTAGGGCTCCAGCAGGCACCCGGGAGGGTCGTTATGAGGACTACAAGGATCATATACAGATAGTCTGATATGCAGATAGTCAGTGAATGTTTTTTTAACAAATAATTGAGTGCCTCCTAGGTTGAAGTTTTTTCTAGTTTATAGGTATGTATCAGAGGAACAGAGACAGTCACAAACCGTGACCTCATAGAGTTTTACATTTTAGTGAAGGAGGGGAGTCCAGGCAAATAAATTAGCAAACAAGCAAGAAAGCACCACATAATAAGTGTGCCACAGAGCATTACAGTGGTCTGTGACATTTGTTGCATGCCTATGAGCAGTTGTAGTGGGACTATGAAGACTGACCTCTAAAAATTCCTTCAGAAGGAGGATGTTAGAAACCTTAGCTGACACTTACAGAAAAAGGATGAATAACCCGAGCCAGACTTGTCATACTAATCATTTTTGTAGTCACAGCATCTAGCACAGTGACTGATACATATAGGAGATCCAAGATTTACTGAAGAAATGAACAAGATTTCCATTGTGAAAAATAATAGATTCTAGAATTGGATCTTTGATGGGATAGTGCTATAGGTTGAATTGTGTCCCTCTCTCCCAAAATAAATATACTGAAGTCCTAAACCCCAGTACCTTAAAATGTGACCTTATTTGGGAATAGAGTTGTTGGATATGATATAACTAGTTAAAAGGAGCTCATACTGGGGTAAGGAGGGCCCCTAATCTAATATGACTCATATCCTTATAAAAAGATGGCCTGTGAAAACACAGACACACAGGAAGAATGCCATGTATTGGAGTGATGCTTCTACAGGCCAGAGAACACCTAAGATTGCTGGAAAACTATAGATTTCATAGGGAGTGTGGCTTTTGCTAACACCTTGATTTTTGACTTCTAGCATTCAGAACCGTAAGACAGAATATCTTTGTTGTTTTAAGCCACCTTGTTTCTGGTATTTTGTGCCAAAAGGAAAAAATACCGAATATAGCTCTAGGAAATTACTAGATAGGTACATGTTTTAGTTGATACTTGATGTAAAAAAACCAAACAACTTTTTGCTTTGAAATAAATAAAAATTTATAGGAAATTGCAAAAAACAGTACAAAAAGGTCCTCTGTACCCTTCACCCAGTTTTCCGCATTTCTAGCACAGTTTCTTTAGTGTCTCTTAGTTGAGGTTCCCAAAGAGGAATCTGAATGGGTTAGGCTACTTTTTCTTTGAAGGCTGCTGATATCACAGGTCACTGGCTAGCCTGTGGATGAGCTCCATAAGAAGACAGTCACCTTGGCCAAATGAGCTGTGGTCAAGAGTGCTAATTTTCTTTGACTTATTCAGTTCAGGTTGAGGTGGGTTCTGTGAAGGAGCTTTGTATAAGGTAGATACACCAAGGCAATTCAAATATAGTAAAAATTTCTGTGTAAAGGTTTAAGCTGAGTAGTTACAGTGTTCCACACCCCGTCTTCCATTACTCCTTTCTTACACCCCTTGCTAGAGCTATGTTCTTCATCCAAGTTACCTCAGCTACCATGTGTATTTAGGTTTGGTGTCAAGGCAACACATTTACCTTTTGCATATGGACCTGTGGGAAAAACATGGAAGACATCCCTTGAGCAATGGCAATAGAGAAAGACATGTTTAGATGATTTAGAAAAATACTGAATGCTTTTCTTGAAACATTCATGTAATTATTTATCTTTGGGATGAGAGCAACATGTTTTCCTAGATATTTTCTTGTACAGATAGGGCTTTTTCACTTGGCTGAGTTTAATTTTATAAATACATGTTCTCCATCTCTTCTTTCTGTTATTGAAAAAGCCATGGTTTTTTTTTTTTTTTTTAGTTATTATACTTTTAAGTTCTGGGGTACATGTGCAGATCTTGCAGGATTGTTACATAGGTATACACATGCCATGGTGGTTTGCTGCCTTCATCCCTCTGTCACCTACATTAGGTATTTCTCGTGATGTTATCCCTCCCCACTCTCCCCAGCCCCTGCTATCCCTCCCCTGGCCTCCCAACAGACCCCAGTGTGTGATGTTCCCCTCCCTGTGTCCATGTGTTTTCATTTTTCAACACCCACCTATGAGTAAGAACATGCAGTATTTGGTTTTCTGTTCTTGTGTCAGTTTGCTGAGAATGATGGTTTCCAGATTCATCCATGTCCCTGCAAAGGACATGAACTCATCCTTTTTAATGACTGCATGATATTCCATGGTGTATATGTGCCATATTTTCTTTATCCAGTCTATCATTGATGGGCATTTGGGTTGGTTCCAAGTCTTTGCTTTTGTAAACTATGCCACAGTGAAAATACATGTACGTGTGTCTTTATAATAGAATGATTGATAATCATTTGGACATACACCCAGTAATGGGATTGCTGGGTCAAATGGTATTTCTACTTCTAGATCCTTGAGGAATCACTAGACTGTCTTCCACAGTGGTTGTACTAATTTACACTCCTACCAACAGTGTAAAAGTGTTCCTATTTCTTCACATCCTCTCCGGCATCTGTTGTCTCTAGATTTTTTAATGATCACCATTTTCACTGGCGTGAGATGGTATCTCAGTGTGGTTTTGATTTGCATTTCTCTAATGAGCAGTGATGATGAACATTTTTTTCACATGTTTTTGGCCACGTAAATGCCTTCTTTTAAAAAGTGCCTGTTCATATCCTTTGCCCACTTTTTGGTGGGGTTGTTTCTTTCTTGTAAATTTGTTTTCATTCTTTGTAGATTCTGAATATTATTAGCCTTTTGTCAGATGGGTAGATTGCAAAATTTTTTCCCCATTCTGCTGGTTACCAGTTCACCCTAATGATAGTTTCTTCTGCTGTGTAGAAGCTCTTAAGTTTAATTAGATCCCATTTGTCTATTTTGGCTTTTGTTGCCAGTGCTTTTGGTGTTTTGTTTATGAAGTCCTTACCTATAGCTCTGTCCTGAATGGTTTTGCCTAGGTTTTCTTCTAGGGTTTTTATGATGTTAGGTCTTATGTTTAACTCTTTAATCCATCTGGAGTTA